AATCAAACATTTTAGCTTATTATTTATTTCATTTTAAGCACAAGATATATTAAGTTATACATAATTAAACCATAGTATATTTACATATCTAAGAATATATTTACATATCTAAGACAATAACCAACCAAAATGAAAATAAGAAAATTAAACAGAGTTTTATTATATTTAGAATAAAAAACATTATAGCTGAACTCGAAAAATAGATATTATTGGAATATATCAAATTGATAACCAAACCGACTATTGATCCAAAAAATAATTAAATCGATAATATCATATCCAAAATCATATGTATAATTAGAATAATATACTATTTATTAATATAAATTATACATATAAATTGATTCAAAAGTAAAACTAAATATCAATCAATTCTTATAAAAATTTACTTTTATGAATATACATACCCGTGTATGAGCACGGGAAAATCACCTAGTAGTTAGGTTAATAAGAAAAAATCGCTTTTCAACTCTATTTCTTTGTCGTTTACAAGTTTTTTCAGTAAGAGTATATCAATGATGGAGAATGAGTTTCTAAATTTTTTGTTGGAGGTTTTCAAATGAAAAGGTTGCCATGTTATCCCTTTTAATACTTTCAAAGATTAAGACAACAGGTTGTTCATTACTCCTAATTATTCTGGGGTTAAAAACGAATAATGTTGAATAAATAAGAAATATCTCCAATACAAAATCTCAAAAAAAAAAGAAAAAGAAAAAAATCAAATATAGCATTCTCGCAACAGTTTTTCAAACCATAAAACGAGTTAAGATTCTTATACAATATATTAAGTATTATGAAGCAATTTATTATCTAACACTGTAAAAAATATAATATCTTTTTTAAAAACACTGTTTATTTAGAAGCATTTCAAATCAAATTATAAACAGTAATTTATACAACTATGTGTCTAGATTAATGAGGCCCTAAGAAACGGGATTTGAGAGAAAATCAAGTTAGTTGCAAAACAGAAAAGATCCTCATCCTTCTGTGTGTTATTCACCTTCTTTTCTCTCCTTTCACACATGATTTCTTTGTTCATTCTCGCTGTTTTCTGATACATTCACTTTTGTCTGCTTCCCTTTGGTTCGGTACTGAAACCCTAATTAAGTTTTTATTTATTTATTTGTTTACGTCGTGTCTTAGCTTCCCTCCAAGAAACATGGAGGACGAGAACCAAAGAATTAACTGGAGGAGAAGAGCTCGTCAGATGAACGATGAAGACAACCGGCCAACAAATAGACGTCGTCAAAATGAAACTCAAAACGGCGGCGTACAAGCTGGTTATCACGTCGAACGCCTTCCCCTTGACCTAAGCTTGGGGCAGCCTGGCTTGGGGCCAACACCAGACTCCTCTCAACAGATCCCGTCCATAACGACGTCGTCGCTTCCTCTAGCACCACCACTATTGCCTTTTGCTCCGCCTATGACGACCTCGTCGCTTCCTCTAGCACCAGCATCGCCTTTTGCTCCACCTATGACAACGTGGCAGTACTTTGCTCCGTCACCGTCTCATTTCATGACGTATAATTCGCCCTATCTGAGCAACTCTATCTACCAGACAAGACCGTCAACACCGACACAGCCACCGTTCGGACAGTCGTTTAATGTCTTCCCATCATCATCTTTCGCCTCTTCGACAAGACCACTCATGAGACCAGTAACTTCCGGGGCCGTGACGTCACGTCGCGGCTACAGATCGCAGTCCAGCGTTAACCGTAAAGACGATACGATCCCGCCGCCGTTTCCATGGGCAACGAATAAACGAGGGTGGATACAAAGCTTGGAGGATCTCGCGTCGAAACAGATCACCACTATCACCGGTGAGGTACAATGCAAACACTGTGAGAAAGTGTATCAAGTGAGTTACAACCTGAGGGAGAAGTTCTCGGAGGTTAAGGATATTTTCGTGATGGAGAAATGGATTATGAGAGAACGAGCTCCTCCAGTATGGACAAATCCAGAACCGGCGAGATGCGAGCTCTGTGGACGTGACAAGGCGGTGAAGCCGGTGATTGCTGAACGGAAGTGTCAGATTAATTGGTTGTTTTTGCTTTTGGGACAAACGTTAGGTTTTTGTACGTTGGAGCAGCTCAAGAACTTTTGTAAGCATTCAAAGAGTCACCGGACCGGAGCTAAGAATCGTGTGCTTTACTTGACGTATCTGGGACTTTGCAAGATGCTTGAGCCTAACCGTGAGCTCTTTCACCGTGAAACATGGAGGCGGTGTGAGTAAGATACGTTTGAAGATATGCTAGGGTTTTAGAAGATTTGGGCGGTTGCATTTAGGTGGATTTTATTTGAATAAGTGGGTGATAAAATGCAAATGTTTTGCATGTATTTATCTCTTCCTCGTTTCTATAAGTCGTGTGTTTATCTAGACTTTGATTAATATCTTATTAATATATGAATTCTAAAATTGCATGGATTATTGTTTGAAATTTGGACTTATCTCAACTTTTTTTTTTGTAGCGGTTAGAGTAAACTTTGTTTATATATGTGGAATTTGAATCAGAAAAAGATATTCAGAAATCAAAATCTTTTAAAATCTTTTTCGTAATATATCACAAGTTAACTTAATTTGTAGCAAATCTTTAATTTCAAAATTTTATCCAAGAAATTACATAATAATATATTTTATTAAATAAATTTGTGGATAATCTACAATCTTCAAGTAACTATCATATCTACCTTCGAACCTTCTATGACATCTGACATCTCGCATACTATTTCAAATCAATTTATATTGTGTTTGTTCTTCTCTCTAATGGAGAATAAGTTCAAATTAATTCACAGCTAACTGGTTATTTATTACTCGATGTCCCAAACCGTTCTTGTAATCTCCGGCATGGACTTTGCGGCCAGGATCAATATATATAATCAAACTATTGGCGTTGAATACATACTTAAGTGGAAAGTAACTCATCCTGACGTTTTACTTTGAAAACAATTGTTACGAAACCATTATGAAAATAGTGTGTCAGAGTTGGAAGGTTAGAAGACGATGGACATGGACCGATTAATGTGTTATATAGCTACGTTTCAAGAATCGTTAAAAGTTAGTTGTTCTACTTTGTTTCTTTCGACAGAATCATTATATTGGATTCTTTATACATGAAATATGTATATCTAAACTGAAAGTTGACCAATATTATACAACAAAGAAATCACTAAACAGAAAAGTTAGTGTTTCATTACATGATATCCAAACAAAAGGATCACATGAATATTGTTTGGAAAAAAGCTTCTTTAAGCTATAATTTGTATGTTGTAATATATTTCTTATTTTTAGATTGGTATTTAGTTATAGTTTTATTATCTTACAAGGTAAATGATCCGTGCATTTTGCATGATGAAAATTAAATCCCTTATATATTAAAGCAGAAACATTGTAATAATGCGTTCACACCATAATTGACACGTGTCGGTTTTATAATCGTTTGACAATTAATGCATTCATACACTAATTTTTTAAATTCATTATTTAATGTATTTACACACTATTTTTAATTCATTCATTTTCTTACGTTTTAACATATTTATTAATAAATTAAAACTTTCTACGTGAAACTAATGAATAATATCTTTATTGTAAAAAAAATTACAAAATCATTATGATTCGCATCAACTAAAATGTTGCGATGAAAATGTTTGTAGAAATTGAAAGTTTCGTACCTTACCGAAGTTGGTCATGGTTGAGGCTTCGGTACACAATAACAACAAATAGATTGATTGATTATGAATTAAAGAAACTGAGGTGAAAAACACCACACATAAAATCAGATCTTTAGTTTAGTCAAATATTAACATTTTTATAAAATTTTCATATCAGACCAAGAATTAGAAACAAAATCAGATTGGTAGAAAAAAATCAGAAATCAAAAAAGGCTTTAAAAAGAAATAAAAATCACAAAATCGATTAAAAACAGAATTCATATACCAAGTAAGATTTCACTTTGTAATATATATTATTTTTATTGTTTACGGGTACAATTTGACTTTCTTCATATGAAAAAAATTTATGAATTTCAAGGTTTGTTTTATTTTACTTAATTTTATTTAAGAATTTACTATCATGTGTTATTTTGAACAAGAATGTTTTAAATCTAAATTTACGATATATTCATATATTTATCATCACTTTATATATTACATATACATATATGTACACATTAACATGAGCGACTATATAATTAAATATTCACCACAAGTGAGAATTTTAATTCTTATTCAAGTTGATTTTTTTAATGTTTTCTTTCTCTATCGCTCAAATTGTAGTGAATTGTTTTGTGTTAATAATTTTTTTTTCTTTTTTTCTTCAAATATTATTGAGATTTAATTGATTTTACATGTCTTTAGAAAATATAACAGGAAATTATTAGTTCGACATAAAAAAATGTCTAAAATTATATAAACGAAACCAAACAAAAAAAAATAGTTTTTGGTTATCATCGAAAAAATTAAAAACATCAAACATTTAAACCAAAAAAAACAAAAATAAATATAGATTTAGAATGATAGTTATATTCTAGGACATTAAATAAAATAACGTAAAACTGAAACAATATCCATGCTAAACAGACATAATATCATTTTATCTTAAAAGCACAAAAATAATAATCTCATTCCGTGCAAGGCCCGGATTATTATCTAGTTTTGTAAGTTATTTGATAAACATTACATAGATAAAACAAATGAAAGAGGAAAGAGAGGTGATTGTGTTAAAAAAAAGAGGGAGATAAGTGATTTCAGCTATAAGAGCAAGACTATCCCTAGAATTTTTAATGGGTCTCTTTAATGGGTCTCTTAATCACTTTTTGCTATTAAATGTGTGTTAAGAACTTTATTTAAAAGACCTCTATATTTTGTTCTCCAGTACAAGTTTCTTATTTAGAGATTCTTAAAAAAATTTATTAAATAAATTTTTTAAGGTAAAATTTATTAAAAGATAACATCTAAAACATAGATTTTTTTTTAAAAAAAAACATAAAAATAAAGATTAGTACAATAATCGAGAATAATTTGAAAAAAATCCTCCAAGCTCATTAGTTGTTTACATCACGTCCAAATTTACGCCATATGTTCAACCAAATCATCTTTCAGTTGTTGATGCATTTGTCTATCATAAATTCTATTTCGAACTCCCATCATATTGGCGATATTTGTCGGGATATCTGTAGAATACGTAAGATCCACATGTAAACTTCCGTTGTCTTCCCCTTGTTGGAACTCTAAAACATCATACTGAGTGTATCCATCTCGTTCGTCTTCTAATATCATATTATGAAGTGTGTTTCATGCTCTCACAATCTTCCCAATTTTGACTTTATCCCAAAAAAGTGCTGGATTTTTAAAAATGGCAAAGAGAGCTTACAAGACTCCAAAAGCACGCTCAACATCTTTTCGGAAAGCTTCTTGATGTTAAACAAATAAAGCCACTTTGGTCCTTGTAGTATTAAAATAGATTGGATAAATGTTGCCCATTTTGGATAACTACCAATCGGTGAGATAGTAAGTCATATGATACTATCTTTCATTGACAGAAAAGTGACTTGCGGAGCTTGACCTTTTATTATATCATCAAAACAAGTTACCGATTAAGAACATTGATAATTTGATATCATTTAAAGGTACATGGAGGTCCAAAAAACGCATGTCATATCAATATATCATACGAAACAACCACCTCTAAAATAATTGTGGGTTTTCCCAAACCATGTAAGTACTGACCTTTCCATGTCGTAGGAAAACTCTTCCACTCCCAATGCATACAATCAATTCTTTCTATCATCCCAGGAAATACATGATGTTCACCAATATCAAGTAGACGTTGAAGATCTACTGGTGTTGGTCTTCTTAGGTACTCATCACCGAATAGATATATTATTCCTTCCACAATCTTTTCCAAACATGACCGAGTTGTAGTTTCACCAAGCAGGAGGTATTCGTCAACCGTATCAGCCGCAGTTCCATATGCCAAGACACGGATAGCTGTTGTACATTTTTGAAGTGTAGAGAGACCAAGCCTTCTGAGACCATCTGGTCTTTGTTGAAAGAAAAAAAACTTCATTGGAGAGTCGATCAACAATACGCATGTACAATGACTTGTTCATTCTAAATCGTGGGCGTAATAGATTTTGAGGGTATGTTGGAGTTTCACCAAAATAGTCATTCCATAAACGTACATGCTTCCCGATTTCTTTTGATATAATTTTTTTTTTTTTGCGTTCTTATCCTTTCTTCTTCTTGAGGTTGTTGATGAATGAAAAGATCCTCGAACGTTTGATCAAAATATTGAAAAAAAATTTCATCTTTTATTTCCTCTAAATTGTTATGGGAAGAAGATGTCATATATGATAAAAAAAATAGAGAAAGAGTGTAGATAATTTTATATATAGAAGGAGATAATTTGATTTACACTTTGTGTATAAAGTAGAGAAGGAGTGTAGATGATTCAAAACGTAAAGGAGTGTAGATGATTTAATATATAGTAGGAGAGAATGAAAGTTTGTGATCAAATTTTCTGGTTTAACCAAAACTTTATATGGAGAAGAATACAAATTGACACATGGATAAAAAACTTTTAAAACCTTCCGTGACACAAGATTACAAATTGCTACAAACTCATGTGACTTTTACTACCACACATGACAATACAAGAGTAGACAAGACCACAAGATTACAACTAGCTACAACCTCCCATAATTTTCACTAGCACACACGAGAAGACAACACTAAAGAAGCTTCTGTGACAGACAAGACTACACATGACTACAAGCATGTTCAAGTGTGAATTTTTTTTTATGATTGTTGAAGAAGATCTCGTGAGCTAGTTTTAGAAAATTGTTCTCATTTTGACCACTACTTCTCTCTTTGGTGGCAGCTTCATACGCTCCACAAAAATTCCCAACAAGATCATTGATCTTATGTCACCGTTGCTTATAGTGACTTGCCTTCCTTTGTTCACTGCCAGCAACCTTCGGACTTGCCGCAAAGTATGCGGCAATTCTTTTCCAAAAAGCAACAGACTGTTGCTCATTCCCGACCACCGGATCCTTACTCGTTTTAATCACGAGCTGATTGGGACCACATCGTATGTTGGAGTCCATGTACTTATTTATCAATGTTCTTGAGGCGTCAAGCTTCACTTCGTTGAATTCCAAATAGAGGAACTTGTGATGAAGATATTTCTACACTGTCTTAGCTTAAACCATAGATAATATCTTGTTGACTCTT